ACCCCAAAGCGGCTTGCTGTTGATAACGTTTTGTTGGCTTAGATGCGACGGAGCGAAGCGACCGGATCGTCTAAGGCTGGTTCTGTGGTGCTGTCGTACAACTGGGTCGCAGTGGCGACTTCATTCTTGCTGCTCTCCTGGTGAAGTCATTATGCCTTCACGCAGAAGAGCATACAGCCTTGTCCAACTAGTCAGCGTGACAGGCTGTGCTTGGACCCCCAAACCGGCTTGCTGTTGATAACGTCTTGCATGTTGATACGCCTCCTGCGGACTTGTCCCCCAGTAGGGTCTGCAGATTGCATACAGATTACGTTCGGGTCTTATTCAAAGTGTCCCAAACTTCGTCTTGGAAGACGCCCACCTTCTTAAGCGCAAGCTATTAACAGCCCGACGACCGTTTGTTATCTCTTCCAGAATGGCATCCGATGGTGCCCTGGGTGTGGATGTGCATGGGCCGGACAAGGTAAGAACGGGGTTGGACTGCGTCTGACTGAAGAACTGGCACCAATGGTGCACGTTTCTCACATTTACACCAAGTCGCGTTCCATGCCTGTTCTATTCCCAATGGTGTTAACCTTCTGCAGAAGCGTCAAAAGCTGGCAAAATTGACGGGGTTGGGCTTCGCCAGGGACATGGCCGAAGTCATCGTGGAAACGCTTGGGATGGACCCCATCGGGCAGTCGGCCGATGCCGGAGCAGGACTTCCTTGTGTTTGAGTTTGGTTAGCCAAGGGACGCGACTTATAAGCAGAACTTCCTTGTGTTTGAGTTTGGTTTGCTATGGGACGCGACTTATAAGCAGGACTTCCTTGTGTTTGAGTTTGGTTAGCAATGGGACGCGACTTGCAAGCAGGACTTCCTTGTGTTTGAGTTTGGTTAGCTATGGGAAGCGACTTGCAAGCAGGACTTCCTTGTGTTTGAGTTTGGTTAGCTATGGGACGCGACTTGCAAGCAGAACTTCCTTGTGTTTGAGTTTGGTTTGCTATGGGACGCGACTTGCAAGCAGGACTTCCTTGTGTTTGAGTTTGGTTAGCTATGGGACGCGACTTGCAAGCAGAACTTCCTTGTGTTTGAGTTTGGTTTGCTATGGGACGCGACTTGCAAGCAGAACTTCCTTGTGTTTGTTTGAGTTTCCATGTAAGCAACTATGGACAACTAAACCATCCTGTTTTGCAGTCCTGTCAGTTTCCAAGTTCTGCACCTGCAGCCTCATTTTACAGCAGAACACCCAATTCTAATCCTCCAACTGTGTTCCCAATCCTATGGCAGCGACCTCATCCTAAACTTGCGAAAGCCTGCAATCCCCGTCCTGTCGACCAGGGTCCCATCCCCATCCCTGGCCAGGGCTCCCAATCCCCTCCTTGGTCAAGGTTGCAATCCCCATCCCTCAGACAGGGATCCCATCCCCATCCTCACCCCCGACAGCAATCCCCATCCCAAAAGTAGTGTAGCACGCCTAATCCCTAATCCTCGCCCTGGGCCCCACATCCCATCCTGACGTCGTCAACCCTATTCCCCATCCCGCCTGACCAGTACCTGCCCCCAATCCCCCATCTCTGCAACCCTCTGCCTCTTCCTTTGTTGTTCGCAAAGTGAGCCATTTGCACAATGTTAAATGATGCACTGAAGGCCGGTTATAGGCGTGTGGAGCTCAAGGTTAACGTGGACGGGGTTCTAGGAGATTCGTTTTTCTCGTTTCAGGGAGTTAAGCAGGGATGTCCTTTAAGTCCTACACTCTACGGCATATTTGGGGAAGGGTTTGCGGATTATGTAGAAGCTAAGGACAGGCTTGCACCAGATGCTATGGCTAGGGTTGGTCGGAAGTTTAGGTTTAGAAAATAATTTAGATGCCATCTAATTAGATTTCTATATAGACTTTAGATGAGGCCATCTAAACCCTTTAGGTGGGCATCTAAACGTATCTAGTCCATCTAATGCCTATCTAAAGGCCGGTGACCGGATCCAGACCGTTCAAACGTGAGTCATGGCACGCGAAACAGCTATGTTGAAGGTAACTTTAGTGTCATATCCTTGCTCCGCTCTATTACATACACAAATAGACGTAAAAATACACAATGGCAGAACCAGGACCCCAAAAGCCGATCACATACAAATACAACCACCAGACTTTCGACGCGCCACAGTACGCAGCTAAGCTCCGCGAAGCCAAGCGCAGCATCAAAAAAGCCGCAGCGTACTGGTCCATCTTCGACGTGTTGCTCGTAAACAGCGTTGTGAACCTCGTCTGCACCGTTTGCAACAAGTCCTACAGCGCGAAGAACCCGTCAGCTGTCTGCCCGGATCACTATGCGAAGCACCAGAAGGACGTAGTGTGTGTTCGGAAGGCCTGTGAGGCGTGTGCCCTCATGCGAGTGCCCCCACCCCAGGCTGGGGGCAAGGACAACTGACTGCGTGACGGGTGTGTGGAGGTGAAACCCCGTTGTCGCCAGTCGAACAGGCCGGCAGAAGAGAGCCCGACAGCTTTGCATCCCAATGCGGGCGTGTCCCGCATGTTGGCATGTGTACTTTGGTGGTTCCGTTTGCGGTTGGGCCGACGGTTGGGCCGCGGGGCGCCTAATTACACCCCGTGGCGCCATCCGATACGCGTCTGTAGAGCGCCCATAGGGGTTCGCCGTGTTCCCAGTGTCGAGCGGCCCAAATAATTATTGGAAAATCCAGGAAAAGATAAAGCCGCATCGTGTGCAAAATTTCAGGTCAAAATTCCACCGTTTAGGCAGTTTTCCGTTTGGCCATCTAAAGATTTACCTAATTAGATTAGGTATCTAACTAGATTTCTAATTAGATACTTTTTCAATCTAAAGATTTTGCCAACCCTAGCTATGGCTGCTTCTGATTGCCCCATGAGCGACAGAATGCGTATCCCTTTGCTTAAACGTCATCGCGTGATCCGTACTCACTACTAACTTATTGTGGGGAAGGCCATTGCGTCTGCGACCACACTCCCGCGGTACCCAAACCCTTCAAAGACAATTCCGATCAGCCATTTGGCTGTTAGTGGGAGGGCGGGTGGGCCGCTCGCACGGCAATCGAGTAGAGAGTACGAAAATAACCTAATGCAGTCATCGTCAGCAGAAAACGTAAGCCTCCAGCCTCATGCCGACTCTCTTACCTACCATTCATATTTTCTACCTCGTTCCCAAGACTCCGCCGCGTTGCCTCTAGTTCGGCTCGTGCCACAGGTAACTTCGCTCGTCGCTACTTTGCCATTCACCTTCGCCTCCACCCAGCCTCTGCTTCTCCACAGAAGCGGCGACCTCCTTCGCCGTTGTTACGCCTCGTCTATGCGAATCCTCCTCATCCGACTGGGTCTTCTGCCTACCCGGTGCGCGCCCCCTCTCTCTGCGCATCCTTTTCTCCGGCCCTCTCTTACGGTTGCCTACCTTACTGCAGGACTCGCCCCTTGCCTGTCCGGTGCCGGGCAGGCTTTCCTTGCCTTCCCCGGCCCTACTTGGGGCGCCCCTCCTCGGCTCGTCAACTACCTTACTTCCGTCCGTTCCTGCCCCTCGGGGGCCCAACCCCTCCGCCCTTTCCGTGGGCCCGACGCCCGCTCTGGACTTATCTCACGCCCCCGGCCTCTCCGATGCTGCCCCCCCGGTAGGCTTGCCCGCGCCTGACGCCCTGTCTCTCCTCTCCGTCGCGCTTACCTCCCCTACCTTCTTCTGCCCGG